ATTTTCCTGTTTTTGTCTACAACTGGAACTTCCAGTGCAGTTTTGGGTCCTGATTCAATACTGATATGTTAGTCTTTGCTCTTGTTTATTTAAAAAAAAAATAACGAAACATATCATCCAACTATTTTGTGTTTTTAATGTCATCAATCATTGTATATATCTATACATTCAATACACTAACGAAAAATATAAACAAAAGCAGGTCATCAGCACGATTGTATACATTTAACTATCTTTTTTGTTCTAATTCTAATAGAGAAGAAGATTTAAACAACGAAGGTTTCAGTTCAGTTCGGAATTTACATGAGCATATTTGTTTTACCGAAATCCTTCTTTCTGGTTTTTGAAAATGGATAGCGTGACCGCCAACACCATTAGGCAGAGGCATACACTTCTCTGTACGATAACTATTTAAATATCATAACATTTTCATATCATGTTCTGTTGTGTAGTATATCAAAGGGAACAACACAATCTTGAATTTGAACACAAAATCACATGTTTTGCCAAAACAAATGTATAGGTCATACCAATAAAAAAAAGAAAAAATACAAACAAATCGATGAAGTTATTAACCGGATGTGAAAACATTTAAATGTTTATTACAAAATATGCTTTGTTTATGGTTCTTCATTGTTCTGTGTATTAGAGAGTCTCGTGCTACGAATACTAAGTACAACATTGTATAACACACGAGGGTTTCATTTCAATAAATATCACTGATTTTTTCTATGATAAATAATCACGTTATTGATTTGGCGACCATATGTTCTTAATAGTAAACTACATAAGCAATGATAATTGAACAGATACAGAAGAGCTGCAATTGCTCTTCCTGAACATAAAAGATACTTTTAGACAAGTTTCCGTCAGTTAGACATACTGGTTTCTTTTAGTAGCAATGGGTGCTGTGACCAGGAAAGTATTTATTTGACTTAGAAATGCAAATCGTTTTTGAAAAATCTAATGAAGACGTTATTCAACAATAAGCAGTAGGGTTAAAAAAATCCAAAAATGCTCAATTTGTTCACTTATGTCGAATAAGCATCGAAGAGAATTTGTGTTGAGAATCTTATCCGATATTTAAGATATAAGTCGGCAAGTTCTTTTGTTATTGAATATTAGGGATATTTTATTTTCTATTTATCCTGCACACTTGCATATACATTTCTCCCAATCGGTCAAACGTAAAACAATAATTATTTCAGTCATAAATCGTCAAGTGATTATCAAAGATAATTCTTCCATAGACCAAATCAAGGAGAGAGAAATTGTTTTGCAGCTTTCATATTTAAATATATGCAATGCATGAAAATGGAAATGATTCCCTCTTTATCTTTTTGAAAGACGAGTGTATTGTCAAATTGATATCCATCCCCGACACAGAACCTTATCTTCTAGAAGGATTTATCATGCCAAAAACGAGCGACTATGTACCGCTACCGTTAAGATGAATGTCTAGAAGAGGTCAGGACATGGAAAACGTTATACTTATACAGTAAATGTAACTACCTTGTTACCAAGAAGTAACAACTGATGCTATGTCTTATTGGATACGGTCGGTCGTGTGTCATTCATATTTATAATAGGGATTCTATAAATATTACATATTGTGAAGTCATATAATACAAATCCAATGACGTCATATGCCTGCATATTATATTTAGACATCACTGTTCTAAAAATAGATACAAGAGCGATTCATTCAATATGACACGGTTAAGTGATTTTACAACATAATAGATGATTAAAAAGACATATAAGATAAAGAGATAGATATAATATGAGACTTTATTTTATTATTCTAGTATACCAAAGGTCATGTTGAATAAATCAATGTCGGAAAAATAACAATGCATTAAGTTATTTTATAAATCTCATTAAAAATGGACAATCCACAAGATAATGATGTCCACACATTATATTATGTATCTATAGACGATTTATTGTGTACAATTTGTATTAGATAACAGTCGATTTACTGAAATAGAGTAATATGAATACGAAATCAATCTATTATGCTAATACTATATCAGAATGAATTTCAGATAGCATATTGAGCACACACAATATTACATGTATCAGCACACGGTTGATATGATACACAATACATGAATATATTCATTAATTTTTCACATGGGAACCGGACGTTATCGCAATAACCAGCCACAGGCTTACTGGTTGTGATAACAGAATATACTAAGTGTTATATGACATCAGAAAAAAATACAAAATAACTATTATGTCTAATAAAACTATATTTGGTATGTATCCTCCATGACACTGAATTGTAAACAAACATCACATTACATATGCAATTTTTGTCAGCACATTTTAGTCATAGCCTCCATCAATTACAAAGCTAGCCAGTTCAATGCCTGTATTTACATATCTTCCAGTATTATGACACTTTTGTCCCATCCATTTGACAGTTCACTGGACATGTTCCAATTTAACGCATTCTTTGTGCCATTAAAGACTTGCGACCGACCCATGTCATCCATATCGATGTGTAAACATATCTAGTGACATTTCCATGTAGATGTAATATTATATTAACAATCTAAGTTTTAACAATACAAAAATATAATGTAGATATTGTATTACATTGTATTACATTGTATTACATGACATGATTTATACATGTTACCATAGATACATCAACATAATAGGAAAACAAATCATCATGATACTATCCGTATTCAATGCTTAACGTAAAATTGAAAACGTGGCAAAACAATACATCATTTAGGATTTAACAATAGAAACTAATCGGTATTAAGCATTATATACATTAAGTAGAAAGTTTTTTTTGCTTTACAATGCCACGCACAATTAAAACACTCTCAGAATTATACAGTGTATATACATAGTGATGTCAAGGTAATCATATCCTTTTGTATTTTCTGTAATCCTCTCAAGGTTCAGCACTACGTTTTCTATGTATGCGTTACTATCGCCAAGGAAAAGCGCTAAAAACATGAATACAAGTGCAATCACAGCATCATAAGTACAATACCGTACGCGTCATTATAGTGCTAACTATGGGCATATCTACATCACTATCATCATTTAACAATTAAAACAATTATTGATATAATTATAAAGCTTATCACAGTAAACGGCTTTGATTATGTATCCTGCAATAAGTTTTACCGGGTTTAGGATACATAACGTTGCCATGGAGATATTGGACGTAATACAGCTTGTGACATGACCTCTGTCACCAAGAAACACATTCTTCACGGTATTTAACTGGAAACTCGGTAACCTTTCACGGAAAGGATTTTCTGGGAGACTAAAGAGAGATTCTGACGACTGAGGTGATGAACATAGATAGTTAAAATATCAACGTTTTCACAAAATAAACGCAGAACCAGGGCTTAAGTTTCTTGTTTAAAACAAATATGATTACTCAAAGGTAGTTTATATAACCTCACTCATTTTACTACAATTACACTTTACTCAATTCATATTATCTGCTTATCTTTCACGAGTTTCCATCCATATGAGATTATGGAATGAGTTTTACGTTTTTTTTTTACCGAGCTCCTGGTGTTGTTAGAGGGAACATTCATAACGACTTTCTATTATTTGATATATATATATATTTCTATTATTTGATATATATATATATATGCTCAGTGTCTAAAGTGCAAAACATACCGATATTGATGTAAAACATTTTGCTATTTTAATCATCATCTTATTTACAACAACTTGGGATGATTTTTTTTGTCCGTCATAAAGAGCCTTCGGCATCCATCGACCGAAAGGATTATCGTGGCACCTAAACTGACACCACCGCTCTCGATTTAGATTATAACTTTGTATTTGTTTCATGTTCTTTGTATGTGATGTAATTTATGTAATATTGGTGTCTTGATAAGGGGGAAGATTGCCTCGAAAATTTGACAATTCGCTTGTCTGTACTGTTGCTATTACTTCATTGATTATATATATATATATATATCTAAACGGATGTGATATTCCTAATAACAAAAAATAGATGTAATTTGTGTTATTACACTAAGAATAGTTAATTGACGGGAAGATGATCTAATGAAACGATTTTAATTTTTCCCATTCTATCAAAACATCTTGTGAGATGAAATAATAAATAACGATTTTCATGTTTCCGATTCTATCAAAATATCTTGTGAGATGAAATGATAAGAAACGATTTAAAATTTTCCCATTCTATCAAAACATCTTCCGAGATGAAATAATAAATAACGATTTTCATGTTTCTTATTCTATCAAAATATCTTGTGAGATGAAATGATAAATAACGATTTTCTTATTTCCCATTCTATCATAACATCTTGTGAGAAGAAATGATAAGAAGCGAGTTTTGGCAATCTCATGTGAATTAGAAACTAATTAAGATTCTCCTGATCACTTAACGTGATACTTCGTGATCATTTACGAAACAGTATTTCACTATCTATACAATGTTCATATTGACAATGATATTCACACTCTGTATCTCTTTTGTGGTGATATCACAATGCCAATGACGCCATGTTGTTAAGACGGCTTGTCACATTACATATCTGTAACAGCATACCGATAGGTAATGGGTGTAATTACACTAAACACTTGATAACATTGTAAGATGGAATACAGAGTAAAGTATATTTACAAAATGTATGACAATTTAATAGAAACAGACATTGTAAACGAAACACGGAAAAATTTTAGGACACATAAAGTTTCATACACTAGACGACACAGAAAAGCCTGGTGTTATAGGGACGTAAGGTCTAGGATCGGAGTTATTTGAAATACAGTGTACTAGACACGAGAGACAGAATGCATTGTACACCTTTCCACAAAAGATGTCTACAGCTGCACAAACTTTGTTGGAATTCTATGGTAATAGTTTTCAGGGAAATTAAACTTATATTCAGAGAAAGATATCGATAATACTTGATTAACACAATCAGATATCAGAACAGAGAAAAAGTGTTTCTTGATAAAATATTGCTATCAAAATGATTAAGGAAATAAACCAATGAAAGATGTATGATAGACAATTTTTTTCACAAAATTCTCCATTCAATATGATAATATTACAAACATAAATCTTACTCGTTATTCCAAAATATACTCTCTATTTCGGTACATTGGACCAATGAATAGTGGCCTTTTAAATTCAAAACCACATCAGCACTCATTACTTCAAAATTACAACATTCGACTCGTTTCACTTAGATTTTCTTCCGAAGTGGACATTCCAGTGTTCACGGGGGCTCCATTCACAGTGATTGTGATCTCGTTATTGGCATCCACGGAGTAAATATCGCCATTTTTAATTTCCATGGTTACTGGCAGAAGAGTGGATGTTGTATGCGGTGGGGAGAAAGATGAGTCCATGTCTCGGATCGTATCATTGTGACGTGTAGAGGTTGGAGATCCTCTTTGGAAAAACATCGAACTACCAGTTGAAATTGTTCTGTTTGATCGGAATGATATGGCGCTGTGTCGCCGAAGCATATGTCGTTTCCAGACCTTGGCAATCTCTGAACGTACCTGGAATATCACACATTTTATATATCAATTACTTACTTTAGTTTACACGATACGTAAGACGTTAAACAAACATATGGCGGGAACGGAACGTGGGGTTTTGCGAATGCTTATTTCGAGTTGTAAAATTATTTGCAATGATAAAGTTATTGTATTTTGGCTACAGTGCATGTGCCTCTCTCCGTAAAGTATCAATAAAAAAGATATATTTAATACAAATAAACTGTTAGTGCATTGTTTCAAAACCAAATAAAGATATTAGGTAAATATTAAAATGTATATCTGCATGATATTCCAAAAAAAAAAAAAAAAAAAAACACGAACAGTTCCTGCCAGATTCCTAAATCAAAATCTGGTATTACCCAGTTTAGACTGGGATGCAGGTTTCTGGTTTATATTGAACTTTAGCTGGAGCTGAAACACATATCGGTACCACGCGGTCAGTGGGCTGAACATATCTCCGCCACATATTAAGTAATTCATTGCAAACCTGCAATAGAGATTAACGTCGTTATAAACGGAATATAAATATTCATGAACTGTATAAAAAAACTTGGTCCTTTTGGTGATAAAGACTATATGTGTTAAGGCTAAGTGATATGAAACATATAACGTATTTTTACTTACGTGACATATACTGTAAATATCCGAAAGGGAATCAATAAATTATAAATCAGTCAAGATAATTGTTAACTTAAAACAGGCAGAGATAATCATGTATAACAAATAGTAAGTGACTGTTTGAAACAGATAACAGTAAAGAATTAAAAAAAAAATATTCGCAAAAACGATATTTTCTTAGCCAAACGCAGTGCTAACTTTGGGGCTGAAAAAAAAGTGACACTGCGATTGACAGTTAACGAGGAATGATTCATTCCCTTTTTAAGGGTAGTCGGACGACTCAGTGGTAACACATTCGTCTTTTACTAGACGTCCGGGGTTCGATTCCCGGAACGGATGTGAAAAGGTATGGGGTCAACTTCCCGACCACGTGGGTTTTCCCCAGGGTCCAAGGTTTCCTTCCACAAAATAAGACTCATTTCGTGCTTCCATCCGATCCAACAACCTCGATTAATCTAAGTTGTTAAAACATGTTTCGAGATTGTTGTTAAACAAATTAAGTTTTATTTTAAAAAAATTCCCCGTTTTATAGGACGCTAGACATAACACTTTTTAACTAGCGAAATAATTGACACGAAATGTGAGTTTCAAACAGGAAAATTGAAAGGTGTGACCTTCACATCAATAGTGTTACGATAACCTGCGAGCAGCTCCAAACGGCGCAAACACATATTCGATGTTCAATGATATTTAGTTGATTACAGTAGTCAGAACAGTGCGGACGAGCCAAAAGATTAAAGATAAGATATTGTGAACATGGTCACAGGCGTCTTAAATGCACAATTATTGTAAAAAATGTTCATTTAGATCACTAAAACGGCATATTTAATGCTTTCCTGTGTCATTAAGTTGTAGGAGATGAACATCTGACCTAGTTTAATCTCTGAAGCGGATATTGGCAAATCTAAATCGCAATAGTACGCTCAACATTTTCAATATTCTAATTTTACAGTCATACTGTATTAAATAAAAAATAATATACAAATATCTTAACATAATCATAATCCAAGCTTAAATTAATCAACACTTAGGAAACGTATGAACCAGAGAAAGATTTATATGGAAACTTCTGAAAACGCAGAAGTATAATAAGACCAGATGTTCCGGAAGAGTATACGTCTTTTGCTTTATCGACGACACTCGCCACAAAAATCTTAGTCAATCCATGTAAGTAATGTCACGGTCGCAAATGAGAACAAGGTATACAACAACGGTTTCAACAGACAAACTAACGAGTATCAAACAAACATATGAGATAACAATGGAAGTAGTTTCGTGCTGCGAAAATAGAGAAATGTTTCAGCATGTTTTATAGGGTTGAAAGTATGATATATTGGCAAACAGTTGTTTCATGTTGGCTAGAAATGTTTAAGAAAGAATGTCGACATCATGCATTTAAAATGATACACATAAATCTGTGTAAATCAGGAAAATAAAGATGAATATTTTATCGCCAATTCAAATATTTCATTTATTGGTCAACTGGCATGACAAGATGAGCTGGAATACAAGTACGAGAGACCTAACTGAACAGCGTCTATAGCTTCGGGAAAAAAATCGAAAAGCACATTAAAACCCAGTGCTCCGAAATCTGGAATGCCCGGAATTCATGAAAATTGTCCTCATCAATCACGTATTGTTTAGAATAAAACTTGCTAACAAAACGATTAAACTTGACACCGGTGTTTGCTATGTGAAAAATTGAAGTATTCGGTTTACCAATGAGTTCAGAGTATATAATAACGATGAAACGTGACACTATAACATTTTAGTGTCACACACTGAAGTATTCTGCTTACCAAGGAGATCTAGAGTATATAACAGTTATGAATATTGACAATAAGTTTACAGTGTAACAAAGTGAAGTAAACAAAGGAGATGTCAAGTATATAAAGAAGAGATCTAGGGTATGGAATAACGCCTCCATATCTTTGAGTTGTTACAGACTGCAGTATTCGATTTACCAAAGTAGATTTAGGGTATTTCAAGATGAGAAAACTTGACAGCAGAGCTTTACGTCGTTATAGATAAAGATAATCGGTCTACCAAAGTAACTTTAGGGTATTTCAAAACGAGGAAACTTGAAAGTAGAGTTTTAGGATGTTACAGATTGAAATGTTTCCTCCACCAAGGTTATATCAAAGTGTGGAAACTTGAAAGCAGAGATTTACATTTTTACAGACAGAGGTGTTCGGTCTACCAAAGGAGATCTAGGATATATCAAATTGAAGAATCTTGAAAGCAGAGTTTTACGATGTTAGAGACTGAAAAGTTCCGTCTACCAAAGAAGATGTATAGCAATTAAAACCATGTCAGAATCAGTGTTTATATTCCAGGTATAAAGTAGGTATGGTATTGTATATTTCAACACTTCATCAGATTTACAGATTATATAGAAATCATTGATAACAAGAACATCTTACAGAGACACTATCACAAGTCCTATTCAAACAACGGCATACTTGTGCCAGGAAACTAATGTTCACTTACCTCGTTATTCATAAAGCAGAAGAGTACAGCGACAATCAAGCCCTGCAATGATAAAAACATATCCATCAACATACATGGTGTAGTCTAGACACCTATTTCATGATTTTTTCATCGTAAAAGTATTTTTAGACTTTACTCTAGTGTACAACATTCAATGAGGAAAGTGGTAAACCTAGTTTAATACAAACGAGGCCTTTGATAACTACCAAGTGGTGCTCTTGTCACTGTTATCATGACAATCAACATATTAAACGTCACTAATAATGATGATGATGATAATGAAGGTGTTGGCACATTTTTAAAAGTTTATTTAAAACAAATTATAAAACGAAAATGTTTTGCAGATTGCTATAGCTACTATGTATTTTATGAACGATTAAGTTCATGACAGTGCGGATGATGACAGTGTGAATGATGTCTGTTGAATTAGAGCCTTCCTATGGTAGGTTATAGTTTTAATTGTTCCTACACAATGATGTCTTTGTCAATAAAACGTTTGCTGAAAATAGATCATTCAGAGTATCATACTCAAGAGATAATTGAATTTTCAGATGAGGTTTGCAGAACAATCTGAAAACTTCAGCACAAGCAGTAGCAGCCTATTCATTATGAAGGTTAAACTATCAGGGATCAAAGCTTTATTTAAAAAAAGCATGCCAACGTAGTCATAATCTGATCTCGAATTAAATACAACTACGGCAAATGAACAAAGGAGAAAAGAAAAAAAAAACATTATACAGGGACCACTGCATAAGTACAGGGAAAATTAGACCATGTATTCCAGAAGAGTTAGTGTCTTCTGATTCCTGTATGCTAATATTTGTCAATCCAAGTAAGAAATGTTACGTTATCAAATGAGTACAAGGTATGCAACAATGGAACCAGCAGGCAAACTAACGAGCATGTTCGTCAGTTGACGACTTAACGGATCATTATTTTAAAGAGCCCATTGAATAACTGTCAGTTTACAAATTTTTAATGTTCCATAACTGGAACTTTATCAAAACAACTATCAGTCGATATCTAGTTTTAAAGCTTCAACATATGACTACTTATATCGTATATATGAATGTTAAATTTACTCAACGGGTTTCACGTCCACTTTCACGGCCTTGGTGTTATTGTCATATAAGTTGAGAGAGTATTACGATGCTTTGCTGGCTTTTCCATTGTTTTTGAAAGAGAAACAAATCTTTTCAGTGCATCTCTTCTAATTCTGCTTAAAGCATTACTTGCTTTCTCATGTCTTAAGGAAAGAGTCTAGGTGAAATTGTTATGTTAGGTTATTAATCCTGATTAATCATCCATATCGGCAACAATATAACAGTATGCGGCATTGTGATAGCTATGATTCAGAGATGGGGCGCTTGGAGTATAAACAGTTTTCAATAGTCCGTGTTGCTAGACTATATTTAGCTGCAAATGTTGAGTAAAAAGAGAATAAAAATATCACGTCCCTTATTTACAACAGACTTGACTACCTAAACATGCGTACTTTATTTATCTCTAGCTATATGTCTCCAACTCACTACTTGTAAAGTTTAAATATTTATGTTTTTAGCTTAGCACAAACACATGTAAAGCCTATGATTACCTGGAAAGAGCTACAGAATATTTCAATGTACATCAGGACCACCGACGCGTAGTCATTAATACAGTCAGGAACGGCAGCAAAGACGATGTAGTAGACTCCGAACAGCGGGATAAGGACCAGTGTCGATCTTGCCAACTTTCTGTAAAAACCGGTTATAAGATAGATAATGATACATTGAGCTTAGCTTTCAATTCAATCTCTACAAGAACATTAATTTTGAAATGAGGAAAGGTATATCTGAGTATTCTTTGAGTAAAACACAGTCACAGTCTTGAGTTACTGTATATCGAGAAAGTTTGGCCTCTGTTTAAGTTTTGCCCTTTCTGTCCATGCATAAGCGTGTAGAAAATTGGTTGCATTTTATAAAATCCTTTCATATAATTCTCAAAGGACGAAATGTACATAAGACGAATTCGTGTATAATGTTAAAAGCGAAATTAATCTGGGGCACAACTATCCCGGTATACAGTTGGATTAACGTTGCTTAACATGATGGAAAAGCATATGCGATGTGTAAATAAATATTCTCACGAATCAATTATACATCAGTTACTTTTTAATCAAAATACATGTAGGTAACTGATATTTATGTTTATGGCCTATAATGCATCCGGCATTTGATTCTATATAGATAATATCATTTAGTGACCATGATGTTCACACTAAACATGATCCCCTGCACTATAACATACCGCTTGTGTTAATATAGTCTCCTATCTATTACACCAGTAATATACATCCTGGTTATTTAACTTCTTATGGTGTATTTATCAGATAACATTGACACATTAACGTTATACAGACCTGTATCTGTTGGGATCCGCTCTGTTTGTTGCTGTAAGCTTTGTAAACAAGACCCGGATGATGTTTATAAAAAACAACAAGTTTATCTGAAATTAAAAATTAAAGTCTTTATCGGAATTTTAAACGTATAAACACACATCGCATTTCAAACGTGTTATCAAGTACACTTACGATTCACAAAATGATGTTTTTACCTTACAAATTAATTAATCTGATTAATTGAGGCGATCAGCATTGGCCAGTTATTCTGACTTTCCTTTTCACATTGAAGACGTTTGTTGAGTACCACTTCGTCCTCCCTGTACATCGACAAAGTACCCGATAATGGCTTTTGAAGCTTCACTTAGATAATACTATAACAGTAAACATATTTATGGTAGTTACAATTCTGGATAAACTTAAGGTATCTTTATGTGTTAAAAACTTTGTTTTCGATTTAAATCACGGAGGAACGTTTGTTAACTCATACGATGGGTGAAAGCGTCGAAGTATACTGTACATGGTAGAGGTTTACAAAGGAAGGAGATCCAAGGTAAGGGTCGTCTCACTACTTAATGTTATTATTTACATGTTAAATAAGACGCTGGACGTGCTAAATAATGACCAGTGATGCAAATTCGTTGAACCTGACCCCTTTTTAGGAAAATTCTATTACCTTCTTGAAATTACAAAGTTTTACATAGCAGTGAAAGCAGATCACGCTGTTCCTTCCGGAACACCTGATCTTATTATCCTTGTAGTGTTTCGGGGTTCTCGGTGCAAAACTAATTTTTTTCTTCATATTTCGCACTCATTATATCGTTATTCTAGTATTTAATTTAAATCATTTCTTTTTCTGTTGACATGTCGGTATTTCCTTCCCTGTTTTTTTCGTACTATAATATGACATGATGATGATGATGATATAGAAGAACGAAACTACTGCAGGATAATTTGCGAATAATTTCTGATATAAACTAAATATCTTAATAAACTGTCATTTCATAACGTCATTTGCGTCATGAATGACTGGTAAAAACCACACAACGTCTTAAAACTCGCAGAGGTGGTGAACACAATAATCATCTATTTGCTCTATTATTGTTTTTCAAACACCTAACATATACAGAGTGGGCTTCCTGTGAAAACTCTTTGTCGGTGTGCACGGAGTACGAAGCGGTACTTTTTATACAACCTATAAATAAGATAGCCCTACGGCTGATGTTTCCTTCAGACTAAACCCTTTTAACGTCCAAGCTATTCATATTCTGTCAGTAACTGATCTGACATCAATATTCTTTTATAGATGAACAAATGATAAGGGGTAAAAAGCAAAACACTTGCTTAACCTCCATTTTGTCGTTCCTATTCACAACGAACAAAAATATTGAGCGATTCAGACGCCAACCACAACGGGTCTTTGCGTGTTTCGGTACAGGAATATTTGATAAGAATAAGCAGAATTAACTTACATGTTTCTTGAAAACAAAAGTACATGATAGTACAGACATCACATCGGTATGATAAAGTATATACTGGCATCACTGCAGCTTTTTAATCCCAGAGGAATAAGAATATCAAGTCGATTTAAAGTGATCTCGATGTACTCTAGTGTGATTGCAACAACAGTCAGAAAGCTCTACACAACTTTATCGAAATTAATCTCTATGTTGTAACGCTGCTATGCCTAATGTACATTGAAAATACACACCAATTCTCTCGTTTTAAGGTATATTTTCTTTATATATTTCAGCAGATGGATACATATTGTTTTGTTATACACGTTCTGTAATTATGAATACTTAAACAACAACCAACATATTTTCTATATGTCCAAAATTTGATAAAGACTACTCAAATTTGCATGCGTTTTCAACATTAATGTAATAACATATGGTATAAGATGTATGTTGCATGATTTGGTGAAACTCGCCTGAAGTTGTATCATCAAGATGTACATGCACATTCAGGTTAATTATGAAAATATTATCATGTAAGTACTCAGTTGGAAGATATCTATCATCATAATTGTTTTGTAGTACGTTGAAAACGCGATTGTTTCACCACTTCAGTTTGCCGATTTTATCTTTTAAATTACCACGGAGTGTTTAAATACGTATCAACTATTTAAAAATGAACGATTGCGATGCAGCCGTTGCCATGACGTAGTTATTTCAATAATTCGCTATTCACAGTTCTCAGGTTTCAGTCGAACCACGTCATCTCGAATTCGTGTAATTCGAAGACCCCGTTTAATTCGAAGAATTCCGTCGGTCTCTGCCTAATTTTACTAAAAACATTAGAACTCATTTCAAGTTTAGTTCGAGATAACGATGTTCAACTATATTATGCACAATAATGTATTGATAATAAAAACGACTGGGTTATTGAATGTTTCTATTATAATGATATAGGTTGTGCGTTTGAAACGTATTGGTTTGTAAGAAATTCTCCTTATCTGAAAATGCCCAAAAATGTCAGCACTAACGCGGTGTGTTTAACTACATGAACTGTGATATTGTCATGCTGTCATGTTTATTAACCGGTCGGATTGTAAATGATTTATATGACATAAGCTACACGTGTCTACAACTTGTTCGAACCACTACTTACTGAGATGGATACAACAATGGGACCCCGGATTATCCACAGATAACCGTGCTCGTCAGTGCTCCAACATCTGTAATATATAGAGTACGATAATAACACATTGATCGATATCGTGGTATAATAAAAACGTAATAGTGTGAATGGAAGAGGGATCTTAACTAAAATATACAACTTGGTAGAATAGGCACGAAAGTAATTCGATTCCATGAAGTTTGTATTTAATTCTAACTGCATTTATTCATTATGAAGATTATTTATTTCTTTTGAAATTGGGAATTATGAAATACGTTGAACCCGCTGATGTGTGTATTTTCCTACATGTATATCTATTTTGTATTGTGCCTTATAGCTGACATTTCGTTTTTTCACTTCGATATTCGTGAAAATCACCAGGTGAATAACGAAATAACGAAAAGACGAAATCCTATCAGTTACATACTTACAGGCTATCTGCATAGCGGATTCGGACGATCACCCACCATAACACGAATGGAAAAGGAGCAACTAAAACGCAAATTAATGAGAATTCAGGCTATACAGGCTTAGAACATGTACAAATACAAAGATTTATCTCATATCAGACGTTTTTCTATATATAAATAATCGTGATTTCCAGTATACCAAAGCAAAATATTCAAGCAAGATACAAACATACTTTTTACACAATAATCGTATATAAAGGTAATACAACCAGGAAATTTGTCAAAAAAAATTCACAGGAAAGAAACTAGATAAGAGAGTATGGTTCAGAAGAGAATAATTACATCATTGTATTGTAAACAGTTCAGATTCTGGTAAAAGCGATGACTTTTCCGCTTCATTCAAATTCTGGTGAACCATGTAGGTTTCTGTGACAGGTAACTTTTGGTAGCTATAAGGATATTCATTCTGATCAACGACAGTAACTCATATCAGTTGATACAGATTAATTTATAACTGATATTTCTGAATTGACAAAATACTTTTACTAAAATAGAAAATAAGAACTTACCCCATCCAAATACAATTTGGAGTCTAAACAGTTTCTTCATGTGTGATAAGGCGAAGAATATGAGTGTATGCAAGTGGAGGCCCTCCACGAGAATCCACATATAGTTTGCCGTGGTCATATAATGGAATATGGCGTAGACCAACTTACAGGGCCATGTCTGTAAAAAGAGGTCGTGACCGTGATATGTAATAAAGAAGTTACTGAGCTTTAAGAAAAATTCTGGTTGATAGTGCACAAGAGCATACCTCAATCACTTTTTGTTTTAAGTCTCACCATTTTTAGCATACCAAACTTAATAAATTATGTATTTATCAACGGATGATATATTTTATATTCTTGTGTTGATATGTTATATATATACTAAAAATAACCAATGAAATTAAGTTCTTCTTTACTCCAAATCCCGAACAGCCAGAATTTAAAGCAATCTTACCGGACCTATCGGTATAAACTGGATCTCGTTGTCTTCTATAGCGGAGTAACCTTGTGGTATGAACTGCAGGTCCTTTACAAGGCATATGATAGCTTTCAGTATGAACGACACAAACAGGTTCACATGTATGGTGTTTCTGTCACAGTGGAGCTTCCTACATTAAAATACAAAAATAAAATTACGACTGTACTACTGGACAGTAAGTAAAAAAATATACACTGTACATAATCAATTACTTTGTCACTCACTTGTATCAACTAATTGGTTTGAAAATATACAATAAATGAATATGGTGAACATTATTGCAGGAAACATTTCTCCCAAGAAAACCTTTTAAACTCAGAATTTGTGATATGTTTTTAATACTGTCGCATGTTTCCAAATACTTTATATATACATATAACTGCAACATAATGTTGCTTGTGGCCTTACGGAAATCATTATGTTTTGAAAACATTGTTATAGGCTGTAGTCTATTCAGCATCGTCGTGAATTTGATATGAGAATCCTGAAAGCTGGGTGTATAATGACCTCTTAGATGTAGTTTATTAATATTTGTAACGTAAAAACTGTCATACTGAAAGTGCATAATAACAGTGATTATGAAGACAATAAGCAAGCTCATACTCAATGTTTGAGTTGATTTCCGTATAAATTATCATGTGTAACCGGTAAAACATTAATCATTATTTCCTACTGAAATCACAAAGTGTTATGAAGACAATAAGCAAGTTAATACTGTATCTAAAACAGGACTTTCCCTCAGTGATATTTTCATGGATCTAATTCATTTTTATAATAACACAGTTATTGTCATGGGAACGGACGATTATCACATAACCTATTAGTAATAAACGTAATGAGATGGGGATCATGAAGGAATGTCGGAGATCAATGAAAGCTTTTTTTAAATACTTGATATCAAAGATCACATCCTGTCCAATTTGCGGGATACGAGAACATGTGGCTTAAACTACTTATCTGCGTGACATTAGATCGTTCTCCTAAGATAAGCTTCATGAAACTGGGTTAATGAGTAGTACAACTGAAAATGGTTATTTCATATTGTTAACTCAAAGTAAATGCTACTTCCATCATAGTACCGTGATTGATATGATTCTCATTTAGGCGTGCAATTTATACTATTTAAGAATGAAGAGAGACCTAGAACAAGATATTGCTATATAAGGTATTTTTTTCAGTGTTTCAGTGGTGTTAATAATTTTTCAAAACTTTTTATAAATCGAGATTAAAGGTTTTGTAATTTTTTTTTTTCAAAATAACTAACTTGACGAGAAAACAGATATACGACATGTAAAAAGCCATTATTTTGTTTGATCGATTTCTGCCACCATGAAAGTGCTAATCAGGCGAGGAATTTTGTTTAAAATATCAGTTGCATCGTGATGATGTCGCCTATAATGAAATGCCACAAGTCAACAATGAAAAAAAAAGATAATTTAAGATATTTAAAGAATACCATAATAAGTAACAAACAGGATTACCACAGCCAAGGAAATGAATTGATAGAAATCCTTATAAATTGAAATAACATCATTAAAACAAACCGCGACCTAAAGATCGAATCAGGACGTTTTTACAGATTATCCGACGTGCGGCTTATTTTTGGTTTGTACAGCAGTTGTAATATATAATTGATGCCTTGAACACCTATCGTGATAGAAATATAGATATATAATGCATTCGTAGCCATATAAGTATTTAGGAACATCGTTTATGTTTATTGTTTCATGAAATGAGAAAACAACTTTCACAAAACGGTCTGAAATCGGAGAAATATTCGTTGTTTCATTTAGACTATCGTAACAGTACCTGTGATTTAATTTATAGAGTTTGGCGTGTATTGTTAATCACAATGATATTCTCTATTTGAAAATAAATTTTGAAATCTAGGAGACGATTGAATAAAGAAACGGGTTAAAGAAACTTAGAAAGTTAGATGCAATTAATAACTCCATCAATCTGAACCATGCGAGTATTTAAGGTTACATGTATATTACAGGATGTTTAAATAGAATAGAAATTCTTAGTACACAACAGTAGATGATTATAGTGTGACGTTTTGATGACTACACGGCCACCATAATCAGATAAATGACCGATGTTGAGCGCACTAGCGCTTGAGATGAAATTGTACAAGATGGTATAGAATCGGCCAACTTTTTCGACTGTAGTAGTGAAGTGATTTACAGATTATAGACAAAATACACAATGTGGTATTAATGTGATATAGTCAACTCATGGCGAAATGATTTACAGATTATAGACAAAATACAAAAGGTGGTATTAATGTGATGTAGTCAACTCAGCTACGCTTTCTTAAACACTTAGTAATAGATCTGCACTCACATTTGTACGTGAGTGCTAGTACACTTTATACTTGTCACTGTCTGATGAAGATGACCGCGTAGTTATAGAAACGACACAATCTAATAATCTACTGGTTATAGAAACTTCCATACTATTGACATTACTATCATTAAGAAATTGTTCCTATATAAGGATGTACAAATGTTTTTGAAGAAATGTTTATATCATTTATTATCACCTACATATGAACTTACCTGAAAACCAGCATGAGGAAAACTGCCAATACCAAGGACGATAGAGAAATGGCATACCCGATCTCATACAACACCTTGATTGTGTAGGCGTGAGTCTGTCGAATATAACACATTGCAAACCTTATATTTCTTTGTTACGTAAGTAAACTGGTACAGACCAAACTTTTGTCTTTTAACAATTTAACTGCTCTTACTGCATAACTCTCTAGGAAGCATTCACTATTAAGCGTCTATATAAGTCTGTATATCTGTGTCTAATGTATCGTAAACTTCTAATTTATAGTATAAATCACATATCCATACCTGCATCTTAAAGTTATATCTGACATATATCCCTCATCCCATGGGCAAACAATCCTTTGAAGACATGCATTAAATGTGTCCGACACCAAGCACTGATTGCACTTGCGTTCATGTTATCAACTACATATCTTCAATGAGCTCAATTAACAAAATGCACAGGTTCTCGCATAAAGATTGGATACATTCATTCTTTTTTATGGGAGGTGGGGGTTATTGTTTTTTCTTTAGATCTTGCCTATGTTGTCTTCTGGTTTTTGTTTTGATTTTGTTTAAAGAGTTTCCTTCTTAAACACACGCATATACGTAGGTACTGATGTGATATATCTGTGCAAACCTAACTCTATCCTTGTCAATCAGAGTGGTCATGTCATTCGATATAGCGTCATGTCCATTCCAGATTAAACACAGTCCGTCTGACATGTCCATTTATTCAGAGGATGGTTATTGAGCCTTTCGCTTAGAAATAACCTTGGCGTCTCGATGAGATCGAGCAATCTGAGATGGCGGCCTATGATCTGAGGATAACGGCTTTAATTGTATTACACCAATTGCTAATAACATCTGTCTGTTGGCGGAATTGTCGACCCATCACCTCGGACAGTCTGTCCAATACTATTCAATACTTTTCTCGTACAAATGATCTGCTTCGCATGTTCAATGAAGCCAATGGTAGAAGTTATCTAGTTTCTAACCCAATAAGATAAATAATTATTTGCGACATTCCAGTATAACGAGGTCCGCCAATGAAAGACGTGCCTTGGTTGTCAGATTATTAATTTCAGGTATATAAGTCATAATTGATTTATTGAATTGTGACAATGATCTGTCCTCCATAGAATGTTTTAAGATGGTCAATATATACATATTTAGATAATGAGTTGAGTAAGTGTTCTTGTCTATACCGCCGTCTTAATTACAAAAGTGCTCATTATGTATATTACAGTTATAATTTTTTTTTAAAAATATATAATAATAGTTTTCAACTCAATATTTGTTATTGTTAAATCTTACAATATTCTTAACTCACCGTATATCTTCTCTTTGTATATATTGTACTGAATATCACTTGATTAATGTTTCAGATCTCTTCTTTGCAAAATACACTAAAATATGTTTACTTTGATCTTGGAATGACAATGCCCACCATGTTTTCCTGGTGACATTAACAAAATCAATTTGTGTGGAATTAATACACATGGTGTGCTTTGTTTACCATGTGAGGCGATCATACACTTTAGACAATCATAGATTTCTTTACTTCACAACTATACAGACACACCAATAATTAAAAAAAAAAAAACCACCAATGCAAGTAAATAACGCTTGTCTTTACACAGAGTGGCAAAATAACTATAGATATGGCGTCCTTGAATTTGAAGAAAGACAAATAAGAAGGGGATGCTGAATATGTTTCTGGAAGGAAATTCTTTGATGCATGGTGTGTACATGAAATCCAGTCATGGGAGTTTTTGTTTTATTTGGTAGCACTTGCTATGTAGAATATGCATTTTGTTTGCATCGATGTCTCACCATGTAATCGATTCTGATATTGATATGGTAGAATTACAGAACATTTATCTTGATCTTAATGAGGTGGATCAAAGACAATTTTGTGCGATATAATCATTCATTAGGATTTCGGATGAAGTTCGGTTGCTTCACAAGTAAGGAAATGTCTTGTTATGCATGATAGACAAACAGAAGTGATTAAAAAAGACATTTAATACATAAGAGAAAAGAAAGGATTAACAATTGAAAATATTTCAAGCTCTTTATTACCAGATGTGTTGGAAGACGAACTTGTACATTATAAACAAATGTTCGATAAATATTTACGTCCTATTCTTTTCAATAGTATGTTTAGAAATACTAGTTTGGTTTTTATTATCAGGGCTGAGATACAAAAAATGAAACATGATTGTTCATAATCATAAAGTTACTACTTCCGATACAACAGAAAATGGTGACATTGTTTACTTACTTGCCTAGTGATGTTTCTCGAGGACATTTAACCCTATTATATCCATCATTGCACTGATGCACATGTTATATAATGTGCTTATATTTTTTGATCTGTTGTAATCGTACTTCACAAAAACGGCAGCCTACAATTTGTCATTCTTGATTGATAATCGATATCGGCAGACCGCGGATAGTACCATTTGTATAGATAATCTATTACCTTACATAAAATATATTACCCCTAAGACAGTGTATCTTAAAACGGGACCTTATGTTACATAGCAGTGCTGTGTTAGATAGAAAGTGTGGAGTGTTCGTTTGTATCAGGCTTCACTTCTTATTTATAGAAGGTGGTGTCATTGATATTGCTTTCTAATCTAGAGGTGATTGCGGTGATAAACGTGTTAAAATAATTAGAAGGTAGTAATGTGGGTTGATAAAATACAATTTTAGGTGACAATTAGATAATACTTTAGATTCAGTATGTGTTCAATAGTCTCCATTTTGTCTTTTTATGTACAAGATATAACAGTAGTCTCTGTGCAGGCTTCTTTGGTTAAACATTTTAATGAAAACACGTCAGACAGTAAATAACTAAAACCACTTGATATAAAGGAATGTTGATAAAAATAAAAAAGCGACACTAAATGTATTTAAATTAAATTCATGTAAGCCTCTAAAACAGTACATGTTACTTTCTTCTCGATTCCCCATTATTAATCAACATTTTTGTTTGATGACAATAACCCACTTGTTATTTCGGAGTGTTCAAGATTATATTTTGGCGTTGAAAGTAAACACTAACATTCTTTAATGATGCTACCTGATTAATTGTTCCGGTTACCTGGTATAAAAATTCCAATTTACAAGGTATATTAACACCGTTTGTATTGATATACACCTCAACGAAATATGATAATGCTCTCATTTTTGGTTGGCAAAATATAAACGTCTTCAATTTGTGGTCCTATGTTCTTAATTCCGCATCTTCATGTAATACGAATTTCATTCAAGGACGTTATTTTGATGTTTCTTAAAGTACACAAACATGAAAAAAGGCGAATTAAAATACGCAGAACAATAGGTATTCCGTCAGACTGGGCTACTTCTGTAATGTTTGCTTGATGTATGTGCTTTTAATTTATTAGGTATGGAAGTATGTATTAATGGATGCCTCAAACATTAGTTCATTTAGAAAAAATCACCATTCGTTGCAGTAAAAAGCTGTCCTCATTACATTTCTCTGTCGAGGCGACCATTGGGAGAATGTGTATTTTCTATCACAACTAAATATCTTCCTAAGGTCTAAACTAGCAATAATACCATACTAGGGAAGTGGTTACCCCTGCCTCTTGCCTAGAATTAAACATATATATCATAATTAAACTTATGTCATGTATTGCCAAAATTCGACTCCGGTGATTGTATTATGTATAACATACTGCGACTATGGCCTCCGTGGTGAACGTTCGCCTATTAATCGATGCTATGGGTTACCTCAATTTGAAGGTAGGCAACATCTTTTTTAACAGTGTCAGTGCCGTTTCCAGTTTCTGTGGTTGTTGGGTTGTTTTATGGATTATCGTGTTTGTATTTGTTGTTTTATATCATCATTTTCAGTTTCTTTTGTTTGTATGTTTGATTTTTTTTTATATCATTTGTCCGCGGAATTCTAATGACAAATATTTTATTAAGTGTCTAGATTCATTAATAAGAAGCAAAATGTCATCAAAATCCTTTGCAGATGGTAAATGGTTTCAGAAAATGTCAAAGATGTATTGCACTACATAGGTAAGAATTTGTTTACTCTGGTGTAGGTTAATACATACTAGAGAAATACATACAATTTTTAACTACTAAGGTGATGGAAACTTACTCTGGTATAGGCCGATACTGGTACGAGTTTCGTGTCCTCCTTGGTGTAGTCTGTGCAGCCGTCGTAATTAGTTAATGTCTTATTACGAGTAGGATGCATGGCCCATGTTCCATCAATGGTGCAAAATCGCTGCGCCTTTCCTGCAATGAAAAATAGCAAAAATCTAATGCCTTTAATTTAGTAAAAATTTAAAATCACGAAACCCGATATCATTCCCGGTTTTAGCTTGACGATATAAACACGGTCTTTCCTAGATTATTTCTGTCAGTTTCTAAAGCTGTTTTAACAATTGTTAGTAAAACTTTAATTAATCAAACCGATGGATATCGTATAATAAAACAAATCCGACGTAAATATTCAGCATTATTTTGCCTAGTAATATTGCTGTTTTTACATTGTGCCCATTTAGGATATTTCTCGGACTAGCCAAAATTTGAATAGCAGGTGTCGCATATAAACAGAAGACGATTGCCCTCCAAGACAACGGTTATTTCCTGTACTTGTGCATGAGTGATGTCGCGATCGAGTTTGCGTTTGAATGCAATTTAAGATATATTTGATAGCTTGATCAACGCATAACACGGGTATCATTTTTATTTCTTGGTATCTATTATCTTAATATTTAGCATATACTTTGCTGGCTATTGGGACGGATATCGCAATTAGTTGAGCTGTATATTTTCATGTGAATACCCAAAACGGCACTCAAGACACTGAGAAACAAACCCGTCGGTGGTGACGTGATTTTGTCTTTGGGCAAGAGATTTTATCCTTATTATTCTGAAAGGCATACGACGATCTCCCGTATACTGTTCATTGAGCTAGCCACCGATTACTTCAAGTTGACTTCAAAATGATACTGACTATTGATGGGGAAAACAGTGCAATAAGTCCAACAAACAAGCAAAACGTTGATTATTATATAAGAAGATAAAATTAACCATATCAGATCCTACATATTATCTACAATAGTATATATTATGAAATGATACAATATCTAATTGTTTGGCTTTTGTATTGTTAATGCAACAATTCAGTTACTTGTTGTTTATTGCCATGATTCCATGGAGAGAGAGAGAGAGAGAGAGAGAGAGAGAGAGAGAGAGAGAGAGAGAGAGAGAGAGAGAGAGAGAGAGAGAGAGAGAGAGAGAGAGAGAGAGAGAGAGAGAGAGAGAGAGAGAGAGAGAGAGAGAGAGAGAGAGAGAGAGAGAGAGAGAGAGAGAGAGCTTAAAACAATGATATTACGTGTTTTACTTTGACTAAAATAATATGTTTATGTTCGACCGGAACAAAGGTTTCCGGCGAAAAATATCCTTGATAAGCGTAGCTAGCCATGGAATATATCATGCAAACATGTTCCTAAAGAAACCAAAACAAAGCACTGTGATTAATGTTGTGTGACTTTTCCATCAAAACATTTAAGTTGACGCAAAATGTGTTGATGATTAAGAAAATATAGGAGTTCATTAACTAAAACGACTCCGACAGATAGAGAGGAAATGTTATTCTCAAATGACCTCCGATTACAAATCAGGTCACAAAAGGGTAACGGTTCAGTGTTCATTAGGTAATGACAGGCGTCCTTGTCGATTCCTGCAGAGAAGATTAATTTCACAGTTCTGTGGTTTCATATTATCAACATGTCATCTTAATGGTATCTCGTCCGTCATTTTACGGCAGGGATATTTTTTAAATTCTTGTTATAAAATCAGTCCTATGACAATCCGTATCGATAAGAATTCACAAGGTCGGTCGCTCTAACTGCAAATGGAAAACAAATTCACGCAAAAGGACATATTTTAATCATGGTTTGTGAAATTGCTATGTTTTTAAGACCAATCAAGCGTTTTCAGGAAACAGTTCTTACACAATTTTATAATGGATGCAATTAGCAATCAATCTTTGATTCTCCTTTTAAACTTTTTTTCTGACAAGGGCGGTGTTGCTCATTCATTTTCATATCGATGTGCGTATGTCTTGACTATACTTCAAAACACTCTTTTTCCAAACATCTTCATCATTGTAGAAAATGTGATACGTATTTTCCGTTGTTACCCGCAAATGCAAATACCACAGGAATTGTCATTTACTTGTACATTATACATCATGTCAAAAAATGTTTGAGCTCAATCTTTTTTTTAATAATATGCTTTGAATGTTCTGTACAGACATGATGTGCCAGTTTAATGGCGGCAATGTTTAAAAGGACGTAGGTGACTAGTTGCGGTATTTTCAGTTAAAGGGTTGTGCCATTTTTGTTGGTCTTGGGTTTATAAATCGTTTTTGCTATACTGACAGGGTTGTGTACTGACATCTTATTTTCGCGCAAATAACCGCAGATAATTAAATCTAGAATAAGTATTCGTCGATCGGCATGCCCCCACAAGGTACGAGAGATTTATATATAAAGAAACTTTATTTATGAAGAAAATGTTTGACAGTGCTTAATCATCAGATGACTTTCCTATCTGAGAATTGAACACGAAAATATTAATCATATTTCTCAACATAATAATGGTCCAAATTCAAATTCTATAAATTAAGAGCAAAATATGAACAAATGAATGTAGGAGAATAAGACCAGTTGTTTCGGAATGAAAGCGTGTTCTGTTTCACCGACGACACCATGTAAATCTTGGTCAATCCAACTAAAAATGTCACGCCGTTCTAAAATAAGAACAAGGTATAAAACATCGGACCAACAGACGCAAGAGATAACTCTATATCACATGAGGTAGGAAAAGATAAGTTGTAAGCTCTGTAACGCCACTCACAATAGGGTTGCGTCATTTTTATGTAGAGTAAACATTTCGCAAATTGATTAAGGCATCAATTTTGAAGCAATGATATTGACGCAAAGATAAGGTGTCGCAAGTACATATATATCTAAAGACATGAGAATAATAATCAAACAGTTATGTTCCGGGGACATGCTTAAGAGCTTTACTGGCCACAACTAGGAAAGCCTCTTGATGATTGTGCTTACCGGTCATATACGCTTAAACGCTTACACTCGGGTTCGAATAACCTTGTCCTCAGTACTGACCCATGCGATTTTCTATTATTCCATAGAAAATATATCATGTATTCTAAACATTTGGGAATATATAAGATACATTACTGATTGGTGCCAAATAAAATGTGAAATATGCCGTTGAATAAAATGTGAAAAAAAATGTATGTTTAATGAGCTAGACCAAAGAATTGATATAAATACATTTACAATTGAGAAAAAAATATTTTAAAAATTGAGAAAAAAGAAATAGAGGCAAACAACAAAATGTATGATAAAAATTCTAAGAAATGACAATTACGTTAAATCAAAGTAGAATCAGAGGATAATCGTTAGAAAAGTATACAAAGTTTACCTCGGAGATCGAATCCATGAATGTAGTCTGGACAGTCAACATTGACGGTGGAGTTGGCAGGTGCGTACGGCCAGCACATTCCTCCCCCGAATGTTGTATTGCAGTATACACCTGAAAGGGTTACATGTTGCATCATTAAAAAGAATAACAAAGACAATACGGACATGTGGATATAATCTGAAGTTAAGTTTCAAATTTGTTGAATCTTAGGTACAATACAAAAGGAATAGTTTACTAAGAGACAATAAAAAATAATTAAAAAAACCCAAGGAGAATAAGATCAGGTGCTCAGAAAGGACAGACGGCTACTGCTTCATCGACTACACTGCCATACAAATCTTTGATTTTTCGAGAAAATAATGTTGTTCTCCAAACAGGGAATATGTTTTGAACAAAAACAGAACCACCAAGTAGAACCACCATGCACACTTCCGAAACATTTTACACGAAACATTTTTCATAGTACCTCATTGTATAAATAAAAAGTTAAAAGTGTCACCATTTACAGTGAAACGACGTCATATTGAAACAATATTGCTTTGAAATAGATGTAATCTTCTCAGTGGTTGAAGAATTAGTACATTACGGTACATTCCATTAATGACAAATATGAGAATGAGACATATATCTCCGGTGATAGAATAATAGATCTAATACGAAATTGCCTGAAAGTCTCCATGACGTTAGATGTCTCGTAAAAAAGCCTATTAATGAGATCTCTGATGTGAAGGGTAAAGATCTAATTCAGTGGAAAGTTACAGATGGAACTTATGTAACATGAACAAGGCGAGTAACCTGATGCACATCACCATTAACATTCCTTTTCAAATTTTACCTTTAAAATGCACCAACTCTAATTAAGTTTTAATTGCTTAATTGTCTTAATATACAACAATAGTAACATCGACAATGAATTGCTAAAACTGCAAACTGGTTTTAAAAAGACAGAGACATACTTGAAACTAGCATACAACAACCTATGGTAAAGGTACATAACATAAATCTCGGGATACCCACTCCCATAACGTAACTGCATCAACAGAAACGAGCCGATGAGCTGATACACCAACACCAACGTGAGAGTTAATAACGAACAGTATCAGTCGTGTGAAAATTTCGGTTGATGAGTTTGAATTTCCTCTTCCTTAATCTGTTTATATTTTCTCAATCATCTAAGATATTTTCATTTTGCTTTAGATTTAATATCAAGATGTTCCTTCGAACATTAGAAATCCATTTTATAGATCGCCTGCCACTGGAGAACTTACATCATGTTTTTATGACTTGGCAGTTAAGTACCTTGATCAGGTGTTAATTAGATATCGACGCTTCGGAATTTCAAATACATTTATGCTTTCAATAAGGTTTTACACCTGCTATGAAATCTGATAATTTATATTAATATCACTTCAACCGATTTATAACACTTTTCACTTTCTTTGAACTTTTTTGTGTATTAAAAGGCTAATTCTATATATTTATGATATTTCTTCTTGTATTCCGATCCGGTTGTGTGCCCAAATTCATTAATAGCCTTGTATATCTGACTCCTGGGACAGCAATACAAGCTGTGTAAGGTGCACACGTTTAACGTACCAACTCACATGTAAAGCGTTCGTGTCATTTGTTAGATCAAACCTGTGTATAGCAATATAGAAGTTATAGTAACTCGTGAAACCTTAATATATGGTACCTAAACAACTTTACCAAACACACTCACGAATTTGTATTGGATTCCTACTTGTAGAATGTTTAATTAATACCAAAAATGTGAATAGTTTTTTTTTAATTCTTTTTTTTTTTTTACAATCTGTAATCATAATTTCAAACAGAACAAAGCATTTGCATATACAACAAGAACCCACATCAGGTTGCAGCCAAGCACTACAATCTTTGGAACTGAAAGTAATTCAATGAATTTAATGAATTCATTCAACGTTTTGAATTTCTGATGGGTTGTTTCATTACTGAGCTGTCTTAAGAAAACATCAAAGATGTTAAGACGTTGATGTTTAGATGTGGTGATTGTCTGTACTATTTGTGACGAATCGAGATCGTTAAAAAAATGATGTATGAAACAAATACTTTTTTCCGAAAAAAGTCAATAAGAAGGTAAACAATACAGGAATTGCTACAAAAACACGTAGTTTGTTCAATGTGACGTGTCTTTCAAGATTTGTCTGCTGATTCGGGTAGATAGATGTAAAATCAAATTGTCAACATTAAAGACAAAACAGCTGAGTGTCATAGCGGGATATATGTATGTATTGCGGAAGAAAAACATCGAAAGAACGTCTCAGACTATCAATAACTCGAAAACCAGCATTAAATTCAAACTCTCAAAACTTTGACAGTATTCAAACTACATTAACCTGACTCGAACGTTACGTTGATACACATGTGAACCAACCGTCGCCCGTTTAAATAATTTCCTCCACGAAGAAATAAAGCTTTAAAATGTAACGCGTTGAATGGGTACATATGGAGATAAAATAGTGTTAGATATAAATTAATTGGAATGTTTTTTTTTGTTAATTCAGGCAAGGACTGACGAAATGCTGCGACGTAAACAATGTCTTCGAATTATACGAGTTCTAGATAACGAGGTTGGAATGTTTTAATGAGCATCATTGTGCTAGGTGTTTGATTCACTCCATTATTTTACATTAAATTTTCATGTTGACTTTGCGATTTTAAGTTTTTGCCAACTTGCCGTTTTGTCATTTGCAGTTACTTACCATCACTTGGCGGAATTTCAGTTTCCATGCGTTTAAAACATTCTATTGCTGCTTTTGTAGTTCCTTCTCTCTGCTGGTCTGCATTGGCGTTTACAATATATACCTAAAATGAAAGTAAATATATTGTAGAACAATAATGTATGCACACACTAGACCAATACGATTTAGTATTTGGAAGTTTGAAATGAGGTCATTGTTCAGATTCAATAATCAACACGTTCCTGGTTATACTTCTGTGGCTACTTATATTTTATTGTGTATCAAGCTTAGATATCATATATTGGGTTAAATAAACACCGTTACTGTTGAATCGCGGAGTAGAGTATATGGAATATGGAAATCTTCGGTGATATCAATTGACATTCAGAATATGACACCCATACTCTAGTTGCGTTGTGGATGACTTGACATTGACCGGGAATGTAGTGGGATGGGGAGGGGCGGGATTTGGGGGGGGGGATAATAAGTCAAACTGATAAATTAATACTAAACCAGTTTTAAGTATTGGCAATATAATTGCCGTGAAATTTAAAATAATTAATACTCTTTCAATGCACCTTTTGCTCTTATTTTTCATATACAAATATAGCTTGAGATTACATCCTTTAGATAATACAAGACGATTTCCTAACAACACTGACAAATTTTATTGTTAATTTAAATATAAGTCTGTATGGAAACACAAACCACTTGGCGATAAACATTTCAACAACGGAATTCAAAGAAACTAAAGTCTGCTGCAGAAATAAATGCGACGGGTCTGGTTTAAACTGGAGCTGCCTTGGTCTATAGAGACCAATTTCACGTTAATCAGAATTCCTGTCGGAATAGGAATGTAGCATAGATATATTGATGTATTCATACTAAACATGCGACATTCCAGATAATAGAGTGTGCTGTTTGATTCACGAAAATCTATAGAACTCAATGTGTAGATAATTTCCCAAGTGATATATATTTTGTCGCTTTCAAGGATAAGGTTTGGGAAAATTTCACTGTAGCTAAATCGGTAGAATCTCCCTTATCCGCCTTAATTTCACTAAAACTATGCTTGCTCTCTAGCAACCGCGTAAAATTACCTTTCGAAGGAGGAAATATGAACCTAGCTATACTGAACATCAAAATGACCATGTGTCTGGATGCCAGAAATAAACTTAATTTTGTAAACGTATTGAACACTGGTACTTAGTTCTGCCCCCAGCGAAGTAACATAAACATAAAGGCATTGATTATATCACATGAGAATTTTATTGATGCTTATACACTCCATTCACAAAGGCGGCCACATCGCCAGTAAGAAGTTTCCATTACATACAAATAACATTCACTACACTGTACGTTATATATCGAACCCTTGGAGATTGTTTGGGGGGCATAAATCACACGGGAAAATGATGTCTGTCAGTCTATCGTGAAATAGTGTTCCAACGAAAGTGTTAGGAAATTAATTTAAACTATATTTAATTCACAGGGGATTGAATGATCTCGACGAGTTAAAGACGTATGTCCATTTCAAGTTCCAGAAGTCTTGAGATGTGCTAGCGTGGTATATTTGTCTAATATTTTGTCATCCATTGCTCTCTGCATAGCGAGTAGAGGTATTGTCATTGAGGCAGAGAAAGCAATTTGTGTTATGTCTCTGAATTCCTCCGATATCATAGTGTACAAAGAATGAAATCTATGTTTAACAGCCCAACACTTAATGTTAATCATTTCGATATTTTTATCTTTTTCGAAAGAACCCCGATTACATATCATTTGCATCAGTGTAATCTGAATCGGAACTTCATAAGAATTATTATTACTAGAGTATTCACTATCCGCTCTGTTATGACGTGGAGTTAAAACAGTGAACAGCAAACATATAAACTGTATCATAAACACGATGATTTCGATATTCCTATTGTTAATATAACTTCCATAAACATACCTACTTACAATGCAGCTTGCCCCACCTGTTTAAAAAAAATTATTCTAGTGTTTGATACTAATATCATAATGTCGGTCATATATGCTGAGAAACAATATAAAAAAAGATATAAAAATTATCGGACACAAAAAAAATCTATATCTATTATGTTCAGCAAATATGGCTGATTTGTTGTTATTGTGAATATTTCTTTTTTGAGATCACAATACATTTGGCAAAGTGATAATATCTAATTGGATCGATGGAGATTTATACGATGGGTGTAGTTGATGAAGCAGAAAACGCTTACCATTCCGTATTACCCTTTTATTCTCGTTTGACTTTCAGAAGTCTCAGTTTCTTGTAAATATTTAGGCATGGTATACAGTTACGTAGTTATATATATATATATTATGATGTCGATAGAGAAGAAGACGGAATGCCTTATGCTCATGTTATTCTCATTTTACTTTCAGGTGTTTCAGTTCTTTGTAAATCTTTTTAGACATGGTAAACATTTATATATTTACGCATATTTCTATAAATCTGGAGTCCATAGGGTAGTGGAAACCAGTTCCACTCTCTTTACATTCGTGTCTCGGATAACTAATCAATGTTTCTTTGTCATAATTCAAAATTAAATTATTCAATATGTTATTTTTTACATACACAACATGTATCAGACTATTACTACTTTGTCCTTTTTTATTCCTTTCGTTCTCTTGGTAAGGATAAATATTTTTAATTAATGCAAAAATATATCAGAATATTTTGAAATAAATACCGACACATATTGATTTCATTTTTGCAAGTTTCATGTTTTGTATAAACATAATTATGGCACTCCTATTTTCTTTCCTATTTCAACATTTTACTATCGCTCATCTTTGACAGGAGGAAATCTGATACGACGAAGTATGTATTTTTCGTATGTTTAAATGCAGGAACATGAGTGTTGTAAGATATCTCTAAACAAACTGAAATTAACCATGTCCTCGGTATCTATGTGTTACAACATATACACGCACAGAAGACACCTATGTTTGAAAAATATTGTGACCTCTATGATGTTATCTACATAGAGACCTCGCCTTAAATATGACTAAGTTGTATGCTACAATTAGGTCAATTGGTCGGGGATAAAAACGTGTTTAAACAGCGTAAGTGGATATAGTGGTCATGTATAATCTATGCATGTACCATTACACAAGTTTGTGAAGCAATAACGACGTATATTCAACATCTAGTCCTAACTACTTTGTACAAATGAAACAACAATGGATGTTTTTGGCCTTTCAGGACCTTTTAAATATTGAATAATATGAAATAATGCAAAGTTCACGTATGCTTTTAAATAAAAAAAGGTAGGTGACTAAAGTTAATCAGCAGTGTCTACCACTTATACTAGTGCTGAATATTGAATGCATCTCTGTCTAATCTTCAGGTAGAATTTTCATGAATGCCAACAGATCAATGCTACGTATAGGAGGGAAGGCAACCACACAGTGTTTATATTACATACAGTATTCCTATGTTATTCATTGAAGTTAATCTACTGGGGTCGGATGGCGCAAGTGTGACACATTCCCTTCTGACCAAGACATCCCAATTTCGATACCTCGAAGGAATGTGAAATGGTATAGGGTCAATTGCCCGAACTTGTGTGTTTTCCCTGTACTTCTGGATTCATTAAAAAGTGACACCCCTCATGCGTTTCCATTCAGGTCAATACGAGTGAGCCATCAATATAAATTTGAATAATTGCTATTGTTGTAAAGTAAAAGATGCGACCTTCTAAATACTCTTAAAAAACGTCTTACTTATTTTGCAATTGTTGTAAAATGAAGAATGCGTTCTTCTGAACATCTTTTAAAACGTCTAATTTGTTTTGCAATTGTTCAAAGTTTAATGATTTCTTATGGTGTTTTAATTTTTGTCTTTTAAAACGTCTAATTTGTTTTGCAATTGTTCAAAGTTTAATGTTTAAATGATAATGATCTCTTTTGGTGTTTTATTTTTTGTCGCTTACGTGACTTTTAAACGGTAAAATATATATTCACTAAGAAGCGTAGAAGTTGTTCCGACACCCTTTATATCAGTGTATTGTAAATGATTTTTCTACAGGCCAGATAGTTTGTTGAAAATGAAAATTCCACACTTATATATCATGAATTTTGATAAATGGTTTATGACCTGATGAACACGATTCAAAATCAATTACATACATATTAAAGTAACATACATGCCTTAAGGAAAGCACACATCTACAACTTTAGTCGGTGAAATAGACATGACGTATGTTGATAGCCATTGTTTCTTTCTGCCTATGTTGGGTGTCTTTGTCAGAGACACTGCATTGTTATTACCATGTCAAAGTTTCCTATTATCTAGCTATCACCTTACACTCGCTTATTATCATTGAATGTATACAGCGGAAACAACACAGGACCCGTTGATTTCAACGCTATTCATAAAGTCTAGAGTGTGTTCCTCCCATTACTGGCATATCTTTCTGACTTGACTAGTAGAGGTTAAACACGAGTTTGTTAGACATATGAAAATTACCTTATATATTGAATTTCGGGGTTAGTGTATATCACCATCTAGATTTTCACATAAATCTCGATTTTCTTCGGTCGCCTTCTCTAGGCTTTTAGAATCTCTTACGATTTCTAGAAGTACAGAAGTGCTGCACGGTGAAGTCGCTGAATTCCTTGTTTAGCTAATCACTTATGATTTCTAGAAGTACAGAAGTGCTGCGAAATGTAGTCGCTGAATTCCTTGTTTAGCTCTGTTAAATCTGATTCAACTCGTGTTGACAGGTGAGTTGTCAATTTCCTCTTCTGAGAATGAGTTTTTTTCTGGGAATGAACAAATTTACATGGATCATGGGAATCAGCCTCACCATGCTGTACCCCTTGAGGGTTATCATGGCATGTACTTACCAAGTTCAGTTAATTTTGATAATGATATGCGACCTTAACTGACCTGTCGATGATGTTTCCTTTATATATTGTCTAGTTTAACATTTGAATAAAATAAATAGAAATGATGAACAATACAGAAATGAAAAAAAAAAAAAAAAAAAAAAAAAATATGTAGCCACACCACCTAGTGACAAAACTAGCCATGCTTTCGAGTGATGTAGCCATTCTGCTTAGTGTCAACAACTGGTGTGACCGATATGGAGAAAT